GCTTGGGTTGGACTACTTATAGGTAATATGTTAGTTAGCAGTTCAGGCTGCTACATGTAGAACAATACTAGAAAAGGATATTTATACTAATAGGAATTTATTGTTAATAGTCCAGGGTAAAGGCGCCAGCAGATTTAGTGTCTGGTGAGGGCCTGCTTTTGTTGTTGTTTTTCTTTTTTTCTTTTCTTTTCTTTTTTTTGGCAGACAGAGTCTCACTTGGTCACCCCTGGTAGAGTCCCATGGCATCACAGCTCACAGCAACCTCAAACTCTTGGCCTCAAGTGATTGTCTTGCCTCAGTCTCCCAAGTACAGGGGACTATAGGCACCCACCACAACACCCAGCTATTTTTAGAGACGAGGTCTTGCTCTCGCTCAGGCTGGTCTTGATCGCCCATGAGTTCAGGCACTCTACCCACCTTGCCCTCCCAGAGTGCTAGGATAACAGGCATGAGCCACCATGCCTGGCACTAAGGGCCTGCTTTTGCTTCACAGATATCACCTTCTCACCTATGTTCTCAAACAGTGGAAGGAATGAGGAGTGTCTCTGGGGTCTTTTTCATATGAGCACTAATCTCATTCATGAGGGCTCCACTCTCCTGACCTCATCAACTCCTAATAACATCACCTTGGGGGCTAGGGCTTCAACATACAAATTATGGTGGACAGAAAAACTCAGACCATAGCAGGCCCATAGAAAAGAAAATAATTAAATAAAAAACAAAGCAAATAATCAGATAAGAAAATTCTTAACCAAAAATGCAGGTAAGGAAAGTAATCCTGCTTTACAAAGTGGCTCAAAAGCTTTGGACAGCTTACAAAGTGAAGGTCATTTTAAAAAAAAATTGGCATAGGCTCAGAGCCTGTAGTTCAGCAGCTAGGGCACTGGCCACATATACTGGGGCTGGCGGGTTCAAACCTGGCCTAGGGCCTGCCAAACAACAATAATTACAACCAAAAAAAATAGCTGGGCATTGTGGCAGGCACCCGTAGTCTCAGCTACTTGAGAGACTGAGGCAAGAGAATAACAAGCCCAAGAGTTTGAGATTGCTGTGAGCTGTGATGTTACAGCACTCTACTGAGGAAGACATAGTGAGACTCTGTCTCAAAAAAAAAAATTGGCATAAGATACGCTAATGGAAGGAGAGCATTTTAGGAAAAACAGTATATTATTATATTTGCAAAGTCAGCCTAAGCCAGTCCAGCCCAGCAGAGCATGGGTTCTCCTAATTACCAAGCCTCTGTCATCCTTCTTCCTTCCTCTAGGGATGCCTATGCGAGTGTGTGTGTGTGTTTTCTCTCAATAGCTGCACCGCACTCCCACCCCTGCCCAAGTACACAAAGTGAGTCTTTCTGGGATTTGCACATGATCCCTCTGGGCCACCAGCAGTTGGGCCTCTCCTGAAAGAGAGATGGCCAGGCTGGGTGTGGCGGCTCAAGGTTGTAATCCCAGCACTTGGGAGGCTTAGAGGGTGGATTGCCTGAGTTCCCGGGCTCGAGACCAGTCTGAGCCAGAGCGAGACTCCATCTCTAAAAAATAACTGGGCGTCGTGGCGGGTACCTGTAGTACCAGCTACTTGGGAAGCTGAAGCAAGAGGGTCACTTGAACCCAAAAGTTTAAGGTTGCTGTGAGCTAAGATGCTAAAACGTCATGCCACTCTACCGAGGGTGACTGAGACTCTGACTCAAAAACAAACAAACAAAAAAGCAATGCACACGATGTGAAAAGGTGCATGGCATTAATGGGACATACAGATGCACTAAAACATGCCTAGCAGCTCTGGATGGTAGAATTGTTTTCTTTTTTCTTTTTCTATTTTTTTTTTTTAGAGACAGTCTCACTTTGCCACCCTTGGTAGAGTGCCATGGTGTCACAGCTCACAGCAACCTCCAGCTCTTCAGCTTAGGTGATTCTCTTGCCTCAGCCTCTGGAATAGCTGGTACTATAGGCACCTGCCACAATGCCCAGCTATTTTTTTGTTGCAATTTGGCCAGGTTTGAACCCACCACCCTCAATATATGGGGCCGGCACCATACTCACTGAGCCACAGGTACTGCCCGATAGGATTGTTTTCTGCAACAATCATGCACTGCTTTTATAATATAAATGTCACAAGGCACCTGTAGAAATGGCCACAAGTGGGTAGCACCTGTGGCTCAGTGAGTAGGTCACCAGCCCCAGATACCAAGGGTAGTGAGTTCAAAGCCGGCCCTGGCCAAAAAAAATACCTGGGCATTGTGGCGGGTGCCTGTAGTCCCAGCTACTTGGGAGGCTGAGGCAAGAGACTCGCTTATGGCCAGGAGTTGGAGGTTGCTGTGAGCTGTGACGCTACTGCACTTTACTGAGGGCCACAAAATGAGACTCTGTCTCTAAAAAAAAAAATTGTTAGGGATGTGTTGTTAAAGAATATGTCTTCAGATAGTGATAATATTTAAAAGGACACATGACTCACTTAGGGGAAGAAGGCTCAAGCCCCTGCTCTTCCCTCCCTCCACACACCCCAAAGCCAGATGCTCCAGTCCTCAGTAATCAGCATGGTTCTTGGATTCCGTGTGGTACATATAAGCATATTTACCAGGAGGGATATTTCTTCACATGTTAAGAAAAGTCTGGGCTCAGCACCTGTGACTCAAGTGGCTAAGGCGCCAGCCACATACACCTAAGCTGGCAGATTCGAATCCAGCCCAGGCCCGCCAAACAACAATGATGGCTGCAACCAAAAAATAGCGGGGGGTTGTGGCAGGCACCTGTGGTCCCAGCTACTTGGGAGGCGGAGTCAGGAGACTCTCTTGAGCCCAGGAGTTGGAGGTGCTGTGAGCTGTGATGCCATAGCACTCTACCCAGGACAACAGTTTGAGGTTCTGTCTCAAAAAAAAAAAAAAAAAGAAAAGAAAAGTCTGGGCTTGTGGTTTACACACACACAGAGTTTGTGGACATTCTACAGGCAAGCTATGTTTTCCATCCCCCAAGAACATGTGACTAAAAAATGCTGAAATTAAATAAGTAATCAACATTAAATAAACAGATTTTGGAAGAAAATAGAATTCCCACATAATTTATTCTTAAAGCAAGATGACTAAATTAGCTCAAATACGTCTTTAGTCGTCAACCCACAGGGCCCCAGTGAGGTCAGATCTGTTTTCACTGGAGGGAAGTTAACCTAGGGTGGGTGGGGGTCGTTGGTCTAATTAGTAGTTTATCTCTCTCTCTCTCTCTCTTTTTTTGAGACAGAGTCCTGCTATGTTGCCCTCGGTAGAGTACCACGGCATCACAGCTCACAGCAACCTCAAACTGTTGGGCTTAAGCGATTCTCTTGCTTTAGCCTCCCAAGTAGCTAGGACTACAGGCACCCACCACAATACCTAGCTATTTTTTTGTTGTAGTTATCATTGTTGTTTAGTTGGCCTAGGCCGGGTTCGAACCCACCAGCCTGGGTATATGTGGCGGGCACCCTACCCACTGAGCTACTAAAGCTGCCAACACCTTATGTCTTAACCAAAACTGCAGAGCAAAAGCTGCCACTACGGCGTGGCCTGGCTCATAGAGTGCAACCCCCTGGTCTTGTTATCTTTGTTTTTTTTTTTTTTTGAGACAGAGTCTCACTTTGTCACCCTCAGTAGAGTGCTATGGCATCACAACTCACAGCAACCTCCAGCTCTTGGGCTTAGGCAATTCTCTTGCTTCAGCCTTGTGAGTAGCTGGGACAACAGGGCCTGCCACAATGCCTGGCTATTTTTTTGTTGTGGTTTGGCCGGGGCTGGGTCCAAACCTGCCACCTTCAGTGTATGGGGCTGGTCCTCTACTCACTGAGCACAGGCACCGCCCAGGGCTTGTTATCTTTGGAGCATGCAGCTGCACAGCCACCTCATTTGAGGAACACTGCTATTCCTGGGCCTTACTAGAGTCAGCTTTGCTCCACATTCCCAGCTGAGGGACCCAGCAAGCTGACCAGATCAGCAGTTGGGAATTGGGCCAGAGGTGGCTATCCAATATTCTCACAACCAGATCAGGGTGATGTTGGAACAAGAATGACCAGCCAACCAGCCAGTGAGGGGCCACAGGGTAGGCTGGTAATTTGAACTTCTGACAATTTTCCTCTTCTTATACTAGAACTTCTGTGAGTTGACCAGCTAAGAGACTATAATAAACTGGTCAATATACAGAGGTCATCAACATAAGGAGCTAGGCCTACTGTACTGATATGTACATGTAGTGCATGTCTGGTCTATTTTAGGTCAAGTTAAAGAGGTGGCCAGTGTAGGGAGGTGGCCAAGTATGGGGGCTCTACTGTGCTAGTAAAGATTGTATATGGGCCCAATGTACTACCTTTTAGGAAATGTTGAGGTTTGATCTTGAATATGCAAATATTTATTTCACATTTCATTGCTTTCTAGGACGTGGCAATGCAATTAAAAATAAGTACAAGAAAAGAAAATGAGGAGAAGAAAATTCCAAGACAACACATAATTAAAAAATACCACCTTTCATAAATAAAACAAATAGTTTACACATGATATTTGTTGCCTAACTCTCTCCTCCTGTTGGCATTTTGTTTGGATTGAGAAAGAAGGCAATTAGGGCTGCTGGAGATGGAAACGGACTTGTTTATTAAAGCGTACAATCTAAAAACTTTTTCAATAGAGTAGTAAAAGCATATCATTAAAATAGACTACAAGAAATATATCAATAAATACATCATTTTACCTGAAGAGATCTGTATAAATAAATGTTTTGCATAGATTTCAGATAGCTCAGTGTAAATACATGAGGGTCTTTCTTAAGCACAGGATAAAGCTATGCAAAGAATAAAGAAATAACTACAAACGGGCTGCAGAATCAAAACAGGGAGGGCATTATTTCCTGAGCAGCAGTTGAATTACTTTCTGCTCCAGCTTGGTGCTTCTGCTCTGAAATTACAATGGAGTCATGCAAACAGAGGAGGGGAAACCAACACGCTCCTCTTTGCAGCACCTGTCCTGGCCCTCTGAGATCCCTCCCAATTCAGCCGGAGAAATTCTGAAAGATGTCGGCAGCCTCCACCCAGTTCTGAAAGCAAGCTAGCCCCCACTCCCGGATCTGCTTGCGCCCTTTGCTGGTGATGACCTCCCCATTCTGTTTCACAATCACAAGCTTGGGGATGGCCGTGATGTTGTACCTCTTCCTCAGCTCACTGCAGGAGAGAAGAAGGGCACCAAAGGGTTAGCACTTCGACACCCTCAACCACCCCTCCCACTGCTCTCCCCCTGTGTAAGTGAGCTCCTTTTCTTCTTGGTGCTGTCCTTTCTAACTGGGCCCTGCCCCCAGAGAACTGCCTGTAGTCATGAACTCACAGTAACCAGCCACCCACAGCCAGGGAGCACTCCAAATAAGGAACTGAAGCTTTCGTTTTAATTAACTTTTGATTTAAGTGTAAGTAAGTGCTAACAAGTGATGAGTGGTTACCAGATTAGACAGCACAGTTCTAAACCCAGAAATAAACCCAATAATTTGTTATATCCTTCCCAACATATCTTTTTTCTTTTTTTGAGGCAGTCTCTCACTATGTCACCTTTAGTAGAGTGCTATGGCGTCATAGCTCGCAGCAACCTCAAACTCTTGGGCTTAAGTGATTCTCTTGCCTCAGCCTCCCAAGTAGGTGGGACTACAGGCGCCCACCACAATGCCTGACCATTTTTTGGTTGTAGTTGTCATTGCTGTTTGATAGGCCTGGGCTGGGTTCAAACTCGCCACCTCTGGTGCATGTGGCTGGCGCCCTAGCCGCTGAGCTACAGGTGCTAAGCCCCTTCCCACCATCTTGAGAGGTTGGAAAATATTGGGTACCTATAATAGCAAAAGTTAAATTTCCATAAGTTCTAAATAAATCCAAAGTCTTATTAATAGACTTTCTACTCTACAAATTCAGTGATGTACCAAGTAGCATTATTATGGATGCTACATTTCTTAGGTACATTTTACCATCATCTGTGAGTGGCCTCTTCACAAAATTATCTGTATTCACTTAGAGAAAGGAGCATGTTCCGTCTTAGTCTTGCAGTTCACCCCATAAACTTCACAGGATTACCTCCCTGAAAACAGGGCAGCTGAGGGAAAAATCCCTATCCTGTTTACCACGGCCAGATCAAAAGGGCCTCAGCGATAGTAATCTGATTTCCCCAATCTGTTGCTCTCATAACTGTGAACCTGAGCACAGAAGGAAAAACATAGTTGAGACTCTCCTACTGCCAAATTTCTCCTGATACATCCATCAAGGACTGCCTGTATGTCCCCTGCACTCAAGTAAGACAATATATTTTGTTTCCAAACAATCCATGAAGCTTTGATAAAACCAATCATGTTCTCAGTTACAAAGGAAATCTTTTAATTTTTTTTTTTTTTTTTTTTTTTTTTTTTGAGACAGAGTCTCATTCTGTTGCCCTTGGTAGAATGCTGTGGCATGACAGCTCACAGCAACCTCAAACTTCTGGGCTCAAGAGATCCTCTTGCCTCAGCCTCTCCAGTAGCTGAGACTAGAAGTGCCTTCCACAACACCAGCTAATTTTTCTATTTCTAGTAGAGATGGGGTATTGCTTTTACTCAGGCTATCCACCCCCTCGGCCTCCCAGAGTGCTAGGATTACAGGTGGGAGCCACTGCACCCCACCACAAAGGAAATCTTAATAAATACATTTTAAGTGATCAATGGTAAGCAGACACTGAATAAGACCATAAAGTATAAAGGAATTGAAACCCAGTAAGAAATCATTTTTAAGGATGAGTTTAAAAACTAAGTACATGGTATATGTAAAATGCCAATGTAGATGACAAAATATTTAAAATAAATAGAATAATATGAGATATACTACAAATCCCAAAGTGCAAATCCATTTAAACACACTTATCTAAAACTCATCCATGGATGACTTAAGAATTTAATTCAAAAGCCAGAAAAATAATGGTGGAGCAAACACAAAGAAAGATATTGGGGTGGGACACAATTATAAAAGGGACTTTATTTAACAAATGCAATCAGTGTAACCTAATTCTTTGTACCGTCAATGAATCCCAAACAATTAAAAAAAAAAAGATAGCAAAATAAGATTGAGAACAGAAAGTACAGAAATAGGTAATGAACCACTGAAAATCAACATGGGGTAAGGATGGCTCTTAGGAAAACTAAAATACGAAATAAATCTCTACTGAGATAGACCTAAGAAAAAAGAGAAGGCACAAGGATATCAGGAATCCAGCACGGATGGTCACTACACAGACCTAGTGTAGACTGAACCCTTTTCAAAGGGACATTGGCAGGAGGGCCACAGCCTTTCACTGGACACACGACGGCTGACAGGACAGGCCCATTCCCAAAGAACCAGTATACACGGCCCCGACCTGAGCAGCTCCAGAAGCTATTTCCCATGGTGTCCAAGCACTCCCATGAGGAGGGAAAGAAAAAGTGGGATAAAGAAATATGTAAACTACTCTATAAAAACTGTCACACAAAATACAAAAGACACTTTTAGCAGAGACTGATCTACTGAATCTATATTTGTAGAACTAATAAACCAAAGCCTCAAACACAGAGCAGACACAAATTTGTATCAGAGGGTAGGTTTAGGGGACACTGACCTATTCCTGAGCAGCCACAGAGCTCAAGATAGGAGAGGTATGAGAAACCCAAGCCCAGGGATCTCAGCAGGGTGGAGCCTGTACAGGTCTGACAACCATAGCAGTGGGCATGAGAGATATGACAGAGGTGATGTCCCCTTCTAGTGTTTTTGTTTGTTTGGAGACAGAGTCTCACTTTGTCACCCACGGTAGAGTGCCTTGGCCTCATAGCTCACAGCAACCTCAAACTCATAGGCTCAAGCAATCCTCTTGCCTCAGCCTCCCGAGTAACTGGGACTATAGGCACCCACCACAACACCCGGCTATTTAGAGATGGGGGGGTCTCGCTCTTACTCAGACTGGTCTTGAACCTATGAACTCAGGCAATCCTCCCACCTCAGCCTCCCAGATTGCTGGGATTACAGGTGTGAGCCACCACATCCAGCCTTTCTTCTAGTGTTAATAATCCTGCACTGCACCTGAAATTTGAAATGCCAAAGAAATTAGCTTTCCCAAGGGCATAGGACAAAAATGTGGAAAAAAAAATTAAACAACCTAAGTACGTCTTTGTTGTTGTTGTTTTGTTTTTGAAACAGAGCCTCAAGCTATTGCCCTGGGTAGAATACCATGGCATCACAGCTCATACCAACCTCAGACTGTTGGGCTTAAGCGATTCCTTTGCCTTAGCTGGGACTACAGGCACTCTCCACAATACTCAGCTATTTTTCTGTTGTTGCTATTGTCATTGCTGTTTAGCAGGCCCAGGCAGGGTTCAAACCTGCCAGCCTTGGTGTATTGGCTGACCCCCTACCCACTGAGCTACAGGTGCCACCCTAAGTAGCTCTTTGAATGAAGACTGCAATGAGGTTGGGCTTGATGACTCACGACTATAATCCTAGCATTCTGGGAGGCTGAGGCTGGGAGGATTGCTTGAGCTTAGGAGTTCCAGACCAACCTGAGCAAAAGTGAGACCCCGTCTCTACTAAAAATAGAAAAATAAGCTGGGTGCCATGTTGAGGGCTTATAGTACCAACCACTTGTGAGGCTGAGGCAGAAGGACCACTCGAACCCAGGAGTTTGAGGTTTATGTGAGCTAGGCTGACACCACGGGCCCTTTAGCCTGGCAACAAAGTGAGGCTCTGTCTCAAAAAAAAAAAAAAAAAAAAAAAAACTGCAACAAAATGGCCAGCAACCTAATTTAAGCTCTTTATCTCATAGTTTGGCAAAGCGTTATTTGAGCTCCAGGATTTGGGCAGCGGGATAGTGGAGGACAAAGCATGCTACATTTGAAAATGGGAAGCAGTCTGGTGGGGCTCTGTCATCTCAGGGACTTGGAAGGCCACCCCTGACCCCGTGAGTAGTCTCTGGAGGGCCAATGGTGGGCAGTGAGGGCAATGGGGTGTCAGCAGCAGCAGCATCTCAGCCTATTTAGGTCTGACTCAGCATCTGACTCCTGGCAGGTCCCTGGAAGATGCTGGTCCCCACACCAGCCTTTGCTCAGCACTGTCCCGAGCAATGGTGCTTCTCAGTGTGGGGTCCTGGGACCAGCAGCATCAGTATTACCTGGGAACTCACCACAAATGTGGTCTCTCAGCCTCACCCTGTGGTCAGCCTGAGAGCCTGTGGGTGATGCTCAAGTTTACCAGCTCTGCAGGAAGCTCCAGCAGCTCTCCACAGCCCAGCACTGACCAGGAGGAGGGAAGGAGGAGAAAGCAGTGGTGGAAGGCTGAGCGCAGTGCCCTCCACAGTAAGGGCCTGGGGGTTGCTGCTCATCAGCCCCTCCTGTAGAACCAATGCTCTTCCATTTTTCAGCATGAATCAGCTGAGGATGGGGCAAGCTAGTTAACAACTTCTGTATCTGGATTCTTCATGTGTACCAGAGGAATAATAGAATCCTCCTCCTGGGCTTACTGTGAGGATTAAAATGATTAATACATGAGGGCTTTATGAAAGATGGGGCCTGGCACCTAATAAGTACTCAATAAACACTGGCTGTCTTTACTAGGTGGGAAGGACTCACCTTCCATTCCAGCTGGGTTAGCTGTTCAGTCAGCCTATCTCTTGGCCCTTGGCTACACTTACTAGTCACAAATGGGTAACTCAGCTTGGCGCCTGTGGCTTAAGTGGCTAAGGTGACAGACATATACACCTGAGCTGACAAGTTCAAATCCAGCCCAGGCCTGCACACAACAATGATGGCTGCAATCAAAAAATAGTCAGGCGTTGTGGTGGGCGCCTGTGTTCCCAGCTACTTGGGAGATGGAGGCAGGAGATTCGTTTACCAGGAGTTGGAAGTTGCTGTGAGCTGTGATACTACTGCACTCTATCCAGGCGGACAGCTTGAGGCTCTGTCTCAAAAAAAAAAAAAAAGAAAGAAAGAAATGAGTAACTATCAGATTCAGAACCAGTGAGGCCCCATAAGCTCTTGCTAGAAAAGAGGAATGTATGAGAATGTGCAGTCCAAGACATAGCAGCCATTCTGCAACTGTGAGAGACTGGATTTGCCAGGTAGCCATAGCCTGCAGCCTAACCATGACACAGACATGACAGAAGGTAAGCCCCAAAACTGCAAAACTGCAGCCTGGGC